TAGGGGTTGCGGGGTTCAGGGTTTAGAGTTTAGGGGTGTAGGGGTTGAGGGGTTCAGGGTTTAGGGCTCTAGGGCTCTAGGGTTTAGGGTTTAGGGCTTCGGGTTTAGGGCTTAGGGCTCTAGGGTTTAGGGTTTAGGGCTGAAGGGTTTAGGATTTAGGTGGCTCTAGGGTTTAGGGTTTAGGGTTTCGGGTTCCTTACTGGTGCGTCGGATATCTGTCCAGGGGTAGAAAAGAGAGCTTTCACGCGCCCGTCTCCGAACGTTGAAGCTGATCCGGATGTCGGATTCAAGATCGATGGCTTAACAGTTCTAGGGTTTATACTGGGACTCTAACTCCCTACAGTTTCTAGGGGTTCTACCTACTATAACTAAGGGGTCATGGTCACTAAACTGTAGGCAAAAAGAGAGTTACAGGGTTTTTTGACCTCGAGAGATTAGGGCAGCGGCTTCGGTGGCGGAAGGTCGAGGCTTCGCGGAGAGATGGGACCCTTATAAGCTCCTAAGGTTCAGGGTTTCAGTGTTCAGGGTTTAGGGTTTGGGGTTTAGGGTTCAGGGTTCAGGGTTTAGGGTTTGGGGTTTTAGGGTTTAGGGTTCAGGATTTCGGATTCGGGTCGCTTACACCCTACTTACCCTTTATCCGAAGAACCTAATCCTATACCGTTTCCATCAATGCAGGCCCCTACCTACAAGCCGGAATGTTGAAGTCACCAACCCTAAACCTTTGCCAACCCCTACTCCAACAAACCCTTCTACTGTGTACCGCGGACCCTAAACCCTGCAACGCAAATCCACAAACCCCGAACCACAACTCCAAGCTGCTATTTTACTGTAGGGGCTGTCCGCAAACCCTTGTAGAACCGGAACCCGTAAAGGAACTCTTACATAGTCTTAAATCTTCAAAGGAACTCTTAAAGGAACCCTTAAAGGAGCCCTTTAATTTATGGGAACCCCTATAGATCCCTTAGAGGAGGACCCCTTAAAGGGACCCTGTTCGGTTAAACGAGAACCGACGCGAGGCCGCCTTTTGGGCCGGTTTGGCGGAAGAAGACGGCAAGCAGCGATTCGACACTTGCCTGGGGGGCCTTCAGGGGTTTAGGGGTTCGGGGGTTTAGGGGTTTAGGAGTTTAGGGGTTTAGGGTTTAGGGGGTTTAGGGATTTAGCGGTTTAGGGTTTAGGAGTTTAAGGATTTAGGGGTTTAAGGGTTTAAGGGCTTAGGGGGTTTAGGGTTTTGGGCTGCACTACTTGCAGCCGTTTTTGGCTCCGATCAACACGAAGATCGAGTCCCAAGTCCGAGGTTGCCGGACACCTGATTGTTGAGCTCCTCCTCCGTTAATATGAGGTATAATCGGGATCCTAAGATTAAGGCTCTTGAAGAAAGAGGAGTTCTTCATCAGGGATCTGTTTTAAAGCTCAAGGGCAAGACCACGTGAGCCTTAGTGACAAGGAAACCTGGCCATAGGTGTCTTGAGCTCTGTATGAAGCAGGGCTTGTAGGTGAGAGCATATAGGGATATGGGATTAGTACAGGTTTTCTGTTGTGTCTGGGGGGTGTCTGAGACTAAAAAATAAACCTACCTCATATGGTTATGGGGTTCTTTACTCTCAGCATCCTATTCATGCCGGTGTCGCGCCGAGTAACACAGATAGGTCGGCTTGTTTCGGTGGTTTCGGGCTTCGTAGCTGCCCCTAGTCAAGTCACTGATCTCGCCTCTACTGACTACGATTTGGGAGTGTGCAGGCATATATTTTTGCGTTCAGGTGAGGTCGAGAATCTGAGCTATGCAAGTTCGACTGCTCGCTCGATTACCCTTTCTCATGCCGCTGAGCAGACAAGCCTTTTTCGGAGTCGGCCAGCCGATTGCTGGTGCTTAGGGTTTAGTGGCTCTTGGTTGCAGGAATGCAGAAGTTGGAGATTCAAGGCCACCTTCCGGTCCACAGCATGCGATCATCCGTCATCATATTTGCATCCAGTTTTCGTGACGTACACATGCAGCATCGCCACGGAGCAAACCCACAGCTATGGGAGCAACGATGCGCGTGTTTCGCATGTTTTTACATATACCTAAACCCTCTTTGCCTGCCAAGGCGTTCTTATGCTTGCTAGATTTGCCAGCTTGATGCACAAAGGTGCACGAGGCTCTGCAACCATCCGAAACCAAGACCCCTGACAGCGCTCCGTCCTCGACATGCCCAGGACCCCTACCAAGAGGAGACGACTCCCACCTGCGAGGCTGCGTCTCGTAGATGGAGAGTTGTGGCTTTCGTCTCGCAACGACCACCAACACTTGCTGTTTCTGCTGCACTCCTCCTTCTGTAGCTGCCGCCTGCAACTCCTGTGCTTCATCCTCACTGCTCTACCTGCAGCTGCTGCGGCTGCCGCTGCTACTCGACGACGACTGCGACGACTACGACTGAGACGGCGAGGGCAACTACGACGACTCCGATGCGACTACGACCATAAACTACGACTACGACTACTTCTGTGCTGTCGCCCACGCTTCTACTCCGACTCCTACTCCTACTCCAGCTAGGACGAGACGGAAGTTGATGACAACTATCTTAATCGAAGCAGGTAATTGGTGGGGAAGCTTCATTGTCTTGGTCTTTGGTATGTGTTTAGAAGCTAATGGTGCCATTGTGGAGAGCCACGGGATGTCCCGGCTTCGTAGGAGGTCTTTGCCAAAGCGGATCTCAGGTTTAATTAGGGTTCAGGGTTTCGGGGTTCAGGATTTGTGGTTTGGGGGTTCTTATGATTTAGGGTTCAGGGCTCATAGGGTTTAGGGTTCAGAGAGCAAAAGGTTTAGGGTTTAGGGTTGATTCTGGTTTAATGCCTTGGCTACCAGACCTGCGGTCTCCAACAACAGTGCACCCCTGCAGCTCGAATCAACAGAACTGAGTTAGGGAAATCCCGTGGGCGGAACCCTTATTATAGTAGGTCGCGGCCGCATAGGGCGCCTGGTTAAATCATGCTTTCTTGCAGCTTTGCGAGGATACTTGCAGGGCCCGCACCCTTATAGTAACCCTGAAAGAAGCCTTGTATGGTATAGCCTTCCTTAGAATATTGAACCAGAATAGTCACACTTCAAGTAGTCCTTGGTCAAAATGAGCTTATTGTAGCCCTGAGTCCCACAAACTACACATCGGCACCCTAAGCCCTAAACCCTGAACCCTAAACCCTGAACTACACAAGTTAAAGAGGGTCTATAGGGTTTAGGGTTTTAACCCTAAACCCTAAACTACACAAACTACACAAAAGACAATGTCAAGGGCTTCTATGCTGCAGGTGGGGTTCGAGCATCTGAACTTTGCCGGCAAAGCTTCGGGAGGCGCGTTTCGGGTTTAGGAGTTTGGGGCTTTAAGGTTAGGGATTTAGGGGTTTCGGGTTTGGGAGTTTGGGGCTTTAAGGTTAGGGATTTAGGGGTTTCGGGTTTGGGAGTTTGGGGGTTGAAGGTTCGGGTTTTAGGAGTTTCGGGTTTACGGCTTTAGGGTTTGGGGCCCAGTTTGGGATTTCGGCGTTTAGGGTTTAGGGGGTTCTAGCTTTTTTAGGTTTTTTTGGATCTGGGGCCTTGGGTTTTAGGGTTTCGGGAGTCTTGCGCTTCGACATACTGGCTTCAAAGTCAACGGGGTTGTTCATGTAGGGGTCTTATACTATTTTGGGGGTTCGTTATATATATATATAAATAGTATAATATACCCCAAAACCCTATTCTAATTATTAATTCTTATAAGGTCCCTATAGTACTGGCTTCAAATTCAATGGGATTGTTATCTGGAGGAACCATAACAAAGACACAGCCAACTCGAGCAACGAAGCTGTCCTTCGTCCTCGCAACGGGCCGCCTGAAAACTGTCGAAGCTCAGACGACTCTCCATAAAGCGCCAGGCACATCCTAAGTCGGGTTGAGTTGAAGTTTGAGCGAGGCTAGTCGCAGAAGTTGCAGATTCAGAAACCAGGGCCTCGGGGACATTGAGCTGACTTAAGAGTCTCGGATGTTTCCGCATTCCGGTTAGGATGTGGGGTTTCAGGTCCACGGGTGTAGGTTGTAATGACGGCAGAGCCGAAGGCTCATTTCCATACCCCAATACCCCACTCCCAAACACCTTGAACCTATTGCACTTAGATTCACAAACAAATCCAGCCCAAAGTCCTTCACGCCGAAACCCTAAACTCCCTAAAGCAATAACCCGTAGACTCTAGACTCCCTAAACCCCATCAAACCCCTGTACTATCTAAATAGGAATTCCATTTTATCGGTAGTCCGACATTATATGTCGCCCTGTTCAGCATCTTGGCGTGCGTCTCGCTTGGATGGTCCGCGGACATTTTGCATAAAGCCCCAAAGCCCCGCAACCCTAACTCCTAAACCCTAATCCCTAAACCCTAAACCCTAATCCCTAAACCCTAAACCCTAAACCCAAATTCCTAAACCGGAGAGCCCCTAAACCCGACACCTGAGGTCAAGCCGAAGTCTCTTTGTACCGTCGGGGCGACACATCCGAGCTCGTCTCCGTGCGGCTGCGGCCATGTGAGTCGCCAGAGGAGTCCGCCGCGGCTTTGATGGACAGTTATAGAAGCTATAGGGTTTGGGGTTTGGTGTTCTAGAGTTTCAGGTTTTTTGGGTTTGTGGGGTTCGGGGTTAGGGCTTTAGGGTTTGAGGGTTTAGGCTTAAGTTTAGGGTTTGTGTTGTTTCCTGTCTGCTTTTGGCGTTACTTGTTACTTGTCACCGGAGCTTTTGAGTAGCAGGAGTCGTGACAGCCGAAAGGTTGGTGGTCGTGGCGGCAGTAGCAGCCCATGAGTGGCAGAAGCAGCCGTAGCACAATGAAGCTTAGCAGACAGGTAGAGGAGCAGCAATATCGTGATCGGATTGCGTGATGGGTCTTGCATGAGTCTACGCACCCTGGAACAATCTCTTACAAAGCTAAGTGGCCCTTGCTGAGGATTGCGTTGCCTGCAATGACAAGGACTCTGCATCTTGTTGTGCCTCCGGTGGGTGTCCTTAAAGAAGCACTGCAGGCTCAAGATGACGATTGATCATGAGCGTGAAGAAGCATCATCACGAGCACAGCCATCTTCACCAGCAACATGACCGCGACCTCGGCCAAGCAGACGCCACCACCACCGCCAGCGCCGGCACCACCACCGTCGCCACCACCACCATGACGACTACTACTGCTTCTGCAGCTGCTACTACTACTACTACTACTACTACTACTACTGCTACTGCTACTGCTACTGCTACTGCTACTGTGCTACTGCTACTGCTACTGCTACTGCTACTGCTACTGCTACTGCCACTACTTGTACTTGTACTATTACTATTACTACTGTTACTACCCACGTGCTGCCACCGGCAATGCGACAACCACGGCAACATGATCTGTTCGGATGTTGCAGGGGCTTCTTCTAGCAGCAACCTGCTACGACAAGCATCAAAAGCACGGCATGGAGGCTTGTAAGATCATGATGGCGCCTTCTGGAGGATTTCGTGTTGGACGACACTGTCGTTGAGTTCCAGCCCAACGACACAACTGCCTCATTGTCCATACCGTTGCACCTCCAGGCAAAGTACAGAGCCACCCAGCATCCTTGTTGCAATTCACATACCCAGAGTCTAGGGTTTGGTGTTTGTACGGCATCATCAAAGACAAGTCAATGGTCCGCCTTCGCTCTCCATCTGCAAGACAGGATATCAGAGCAATCTCTCAAACTCCACAGGACAGAGTGAGAGTGTTGCAGAGGATAAGACCGGTAACCACGGCTCTCTTCCTATAAACTCACATAAGTCCAAGTGCAGCTCCATCGCCAGCCTCTGCCTCAAGCCCTTTACTGGCGCTAGCTGTCCGTTTGCATCTCTCGGGCTATCTGCCAGCCTGCCATGCGCAGGTGCAAGCATGCCCACGTATGCTCACATGAAGACCTCTGCCTATATGCGTGTCGACATCTAGCTCCATCCAACAAGACCTCCATTCGCGCCGAGTATATCATATCGAGCTAGATTGACAATCTGACTTTCGCAAACTATCAACCATGTATTTGTAAATGCCTCTGTGCATGTTGACCTGTGTCTCTGTCAATGCTTTTGTAGGTAGGTATGCATGCATGCAGTATACACGCAACAGGCACATAGACCCCTAAGGTTAGCTTTCCAGACGGCTGCACAGCTTTGTACAGTCGGATCGCATCCCACTAGGGTCGAAATGGGTGTGGGATCTAGCATTTTGGGGGCTTGTAATAAGGTTTACAGTTTAGGGCTTTAGGGCTTCTATCGGGGCTTGGGTGTTCAGGGTTTAGAGTGTCAGGGTTTAGGATGCAATGTGTAGAGACTTTAGACTTCCGCTGGGGTTCAGGGGTCTGACCGTGTTCGGGGGCTACGGTGCCGGATGGAGATGTCGAGAGGTCTTCCAGGGATACAGGAGCCTGAAAAAACTATTCCTTAGGGTGCCATGTTATAGCTATACTATAACATACACCTTCACCCGATTCTCTTTGCACGTTTTTTTGGGACACATTCTCTGAGGATGCATGTCGTCCTTTGTCTCGCACGTCGTCGACAGGCGTTCGCCCGCATCACCCCGAAACCTATTCTCATCACCAATACGCCTATTAAGGCCATTATACTGGCAAGGTATTTCGAGGTGGAACTCGTGGAGGTGGTTTCCGGACGAGCTGCTTTGGGTGCCTTGGGACCGTTGGTTCGATTACCAGGTTGCGGCTGATCAGGTCGAGGCTTCCAAAGAGGAGCACCCTTTTGCTTGGCTTCCTTGCTTGCCCTTTCCACGAAGCAGGAGCAGCCGCCTTCCCTGAATATGCTGCTGTTGTAGACTCATTGTAGACCCTGGCGCCGTCAAACAAGACAGAATCCCGTCTTCGAGTTGAGGACAGCTGTGTGCCACATTGCCCAAAACAAGGGCGTGATATAGGGGCCTAAATAATTACCAGTACTGTTTTGAGGGTTCCCTGTTATAGTATAATATACCCCAAAAAGCTATTCTAAATTATTAAGGCCGCTATAGCAACTGAATGACCCGACTGTTCGGCAAAAGAGACGGTAGCCGAGTCGGAACCAAGAGGGAGGTCTTGCGGTCCGCTAAAGCGCCTTCCTATGTTAACTTACTGGTATGTAGTTTATGACCAGTGTTACCACTTTGACTGGGTAGCATTATGGCTACGTATGCACAACATGGATATTGCTGTTGAGTAGGTATCTGACCGCAACTATAGTGTGAACTGTATACCAACACATAGCAAAGGTGAGCTTGCTCTCAGGCAAATGCCTAAACCGTAAGTCCGAAAACCTCACAGTCCGGCACAGTAATAAACCTTTCAGGGCACCCCGTGCTGGTAATACCCGGGTAAACTGCAGCCAATGCTCCCTCCTATCATGATGAGAATGTCAGAATCACCCCATGCCGCAAAGAGAGTTGTATTAAAACTATCACGAAAGAGGTACAATCGAGATTTTTAGAGGGTTTACTTGCATCCTTGAGCTCTCTCCACCATCACCGAGGTGGCCCAACAATTGGTCTTGAAACGGAGCATCGCAAGGCAGGCAGCGCACGATGTCTTTCACGCTACGGCAAGAATTATGCGGGAGGATTTCCCTGAACCTTTCAAGACAGAAATCCAAACCGAAGACCCTCAACCAGCCTGAATTCTACACCCGGTGAGTCATCTCCTCGTCTATTGCGCAGCGGTCGGTCTTTGATACAGTGGACTGGGGATAGCGATGCTGATTGATAAGTGCGGCTACTTCTTCCCCAATGCCTCCCAAAGGGCCGAAGGCTAGTTTGAGCAAGCCCAGGCCGACCACATGCCAATGCCAGTGGCTCGATTCATTTGAACCACAAAATGATATTGAAGAATCATCCTCATCTTGCGGAGACCGGCCCAACCCCGACATGAAGCCCGAAACAGCGAAACAGACGGAAGGCTACAGAAAGACCTCTGCGGGTTGCGAGCTATGTCAATGTCCATCCGATGGTAGTGCTGAGAATGTGTGGAGCAACAGCAACAACACCGTCATCGTCGTTTATCGTTACAGAATGACTAGTACTTGCTACCGGTGACAATGAACTTGGAGATGAGTTTGAAGCATGCTTAATGTAGGGGCCTAAATAATTACCAATACTATTTTTTGCGGGCTCCTTGTTATGATTAACTTTCTTTAAAAAGGCTCAGATTATTACCAGTATTATTTTGGGGGGTCCTTATTATCAGTACCATACTGGCCAGGGCGTACCATACTGATAATATAAGGGGTCCCAAAACCCTATTCTAATTATTACGGCCCCTATATCAGCCGTATTCCCAGCACTCCACGCCAGGCTCGAGTCTATATCTTCAACGACTACGCCTTCCCGTGCAACGTCCCCAAAGAGAGAAGGATCCCTGACTTCTTTCAGGGTGCACCTTACGTAACCCCAGACCTACCTTTTAGGGCTCCTTGTTCAAACTTTATATATATATATATTTGTTTTTAAATGTACTTTATATATATATATATATATATATATACCCACATAAGTCTTCCAAAATGTAGGTATCCGAGGTTTAAGGTAGGGTTCTAGGTTTTATACCTGTTCCTGACCCAGAGAAGTCCATGGCACCCCGAGCCATGGAATGGATACCAGTTGCAGCTCTCCGACCTAAACCCTTAGGGTTTAGGGTTTAGGGGTTTAGGGGTTTAGGGTTTAGGGTTTAGGGTTTACAACTAAACCTAAACCCGAAATCTTAAACAATTCATCTGAACCCTGCGGTATCCGAGGGAGTCCAAGTTCTGGATCACCTGGTACTACCTGCAGGACTGCTCCTTTCAGCTGCTGTTTCGAGTTAGGTGAGCAAGCGGAATTTAGGGTTTACGTTGGCAAGTACAGCCTTGGTTCGTTCCGCAAAGCCAAAATCCATCAAGACGAGTAGCTGAGTAGCTTCACGACAAGCCCTCTACATTTAATGGCATCTACATCTAAAGGCCTGAAATCACTTGCCAGAATGCGGCACTCGGGCGGCTACACCCAAAGCCGCTCCGACGAAAATAACTTGGCAACTTGTCGTGCTGATCGGTAGGGTGCCGGACGGCGCTGCTACTGTTTGAATACGATTCTGTGCCCCCTCAGGTTATGCGAAGGCTAATCACTGTCATCACAAGGTCGATGATGATGATGGCGATGATGATGAGGATGGTGGTGAGGATGACGCTTGTGATGACGATGATTGTGATGCGAATGCTATACCCTGCACCCTGAACCACTATCCCCCAAACCCTAAAATTAAAACCCTACTTAGCCATTATACGTTGAGTTCAATACCCTAAACCCGAAACCCAAAACCCTATAAGCCTCAAACCCAAAATCCAAAACCCAAACCCTAAACCTCAAACCCCAAACCCAAACAACAATTCTAAACGCTACGCTCTATTCACATCATCGTAGGCCCTGGCAGGAGCGCCGGTTGTCGAGAGGTCTGCGATGGTGGAAGACCTTGGCGGGCCTCTTGCATCTTGGTTTATTGCCTCTTAGATGTAGAGCATTGGGTTTCGGGTTTTGAGTCTAGGGTTTAGGGTTTCGGGTTTGGGAGTTCGGGTTTTGGGCATGTGTGGTGAGAGTGCTGCAGCTCCCCATGTTTCTTCATGAACTGTGCACCAGGGACAATCTCATCTATGCGAGCTCAGTCTGCTGCTAGTAACCTAAACCGACCCTACTACTACTACTACTACTACTACTACCACTACTACTACTACTACTACTACTACTACTACTACTAAATCCTATCCTCAACCCCCAGCCTCTTGAAGCGAGGTATCAGCCGGCTGCAGCCTCAGTTGACGACGGCTTGACTGCATGGCTGTCGTGCCAGGTAGTGATGCTAAGGACCCCAATCCCGAAACTCATCCTGTTGCGAACGGACATGTATTGAGTCAGCTGCCTCCAGGCCTGAGAAGCTCTAGAAGGTTTTCTCTTGAATAGGACAAGCAGGCCAGTAGAGCTTGAGCGCCATGGGGTGCAGTGGAAGCTTTGACAGCAGAAGCGTAGAACCCCAGGCTAGCGGGTGGTGCTCCTTCTTCCGGAGTCTCTTTCGTTGTCTCCACCTGGGTGGTTGTCAAAATTAGGGTCCCCTTCTGGGTCCTTATTATAATACGGCATCTATTATTTAGGGTACCCCAAAAGGGATCATAATTTTGACAACTACCCACCTAGGCCCAGAATCTATGATTCCCTCTGCCCAGACCCTGAGCCAGCCTAAGCCTCAAACCTTGAACCCCAGATCCATCTTCCAAACCCCCAAGGCCCCAAACTCCGAATCTGGAAGGCCGAAGCTTTAATTCGGGTTCACGGCCGAGGGTGTGGGACAGTTTATGATTCATTCTGAGTCAAGGATATGGTTCAGGGTTCAGATTGACAAAATTTAGGAACGGCAAGTATAGAACTTGAATTCCTAAGTCACTCTACCCGACCCTTAACTCCCGAAACCCTATGGGGGTTTCCGAATATTGGGGTACCTTATTTTGGGGTCCTTGTATTAAGGATCCTATTATTTAGGGCACTATATTAGGGTCCCCTATTTTCGGAAACTCCCCTATGCCTCAAACTCAGATCCACAGCGTTTGCGTCATGGCGTTGGTCCAAAAGCTCCCCGGCCTGGTACTGATAAGACCTTCAGTTTGGGCTAAGTTTAGGGTTTAGGGTAGGGTTTAGGGTTTAGGGTTTAGGGTTTAAGTTTAGGGTTTAGGGTAGAGTCCAAAATCAACTGGATTAAGGAATGCCTTGAAACGCACAACAAAGCTCTGTAATCCTTGAGTAAAAACGTTCGTTAAAGAAAGCCCTATGTCGTTTAGGGAGCATTGCTTCATTCGGGGTTTTGCGACAATGGTCCCGCATTGGAGCTGTGGGGTTAAGGGATTCTGGGCTAAGGGTATTTTGATTTGGGGGTTTAGGGTTTGTTTTGGGAGCTATCCCCCTCTGGTGGGCGCCATGTTTTCGTGGCTGTTGGGCGCAGCCGGCATCAGTACTTACGACGTTTGCCGCATAGATAGCAGAGCGACAAGTCCCGGACCCAGTCGTTGTGCTCTTTTTCATGTCGAAACAGATCATGTCACCGAGCCGTTCAAGAAGCCCGTCATTGCTGCAACCAGGGTTGAAATCAATGCCGTCCCACAGTGGGAAAGAAGTAAGCGTGCGGCAACGGCAACGACTGCGTACTAGTAAAAGAAGCTTCGGGGATAGTGACGGAGCGACACAACAAATATGTCAACAAGAAGGATACAATTCACATCATGACGAACATGGACGTCATCATCCCCCCGACTCCCCAGCCCAACTCCGTCACTCAACAAAAACACGACATGTCACAAAGCCACCAGTCACGAGTGAAAGGCAGAATCGCCAAAAAGCCTCGCGCTCTAGCTGTAGTAGTCGTCGTCGAAGAAGTAGTAGTCGTCGTCGTCGATGTCGTCGTCGTACTAGTACTAGTACAAATATATACCAGTACAAGTAAGTAGTGTACTAGTACGAGCACAGGCACGAGTACGGGCACGAGTACGAGTACGCGTACGCGTAGCAGTACTGGGAGTAGTGGTAGTAGCAGTGGCAGCAGTACATTGGCAGTATTGGCAGCAGTAGCAGCAGCAGGTAATATTAGTACCACTAGCGGTAGTGCTGATGTTTGTTTTTTGAGGCCGTCGTTGTTCGGCTGTTGCTTTTGCTGTCGCCTGCTATTTTCTGAGGGACTTCCCCTCATGTGTTGTGCACAGTCTGTAGGTGTTAGGGTAGTTGACCTCCCAGTCTGGCTAAGGGAGGCCCTAGACCGGGTATCTGATCCAGACGCTCCTGGAGACAAGCTGCTGGAGATTGCCATGCTCGGCTGCTCGGACCTTTAAGTTTTCCCGCAAGGCTAGAGTATGACATTATGTGGATTTGTGGCTTCGGGCTTGCATATCTGCTGGAAAAATGCGGGTTCGGCCGCAGTTGTAGGGTTGCTTCGGCTAATAGTACTGAAAATAGTAGTGTCTGATAGGATTAATCATGAGAAATATGAAGACATTACAAAAAATTAGGGCCATGGCTCCGAATTCCAAAACAGATGTGTCAAGCCCATCAGCGGAGGCGTGGTATCGTTCCTGTCCTTGGCGTTGCTCCGCTGGGGGGACAAGGCTCTGCTGGTTTACGGGTTTTTGGGGGCTGCAGGGTTTTATGCGGGGCCTGGGTTGCGTTTACTTGTGCAAGTAGTGTTTGTTGTTGCTTGCTTTGTGTAGGTTAGGTTTTGAGGTCAGCGATTAGTCTTCGTATTTTCGGGTTTAGGGTTTGGGGCCTAGAGGGCCAAAGATTTCGCAGTGCCACTTTGAGATGACTCCTGGATCCTTCAAGCGCTTCTGCTCCCCTCCCTACACGAAAGATCGTCATCTCTCAACCTCCTGATACCTCCCCTAAACCTTGAGATCTCAATCCGACACCCTTAGCCCTAGACAAACGAAGCCTTGAGCCCCCCAACCAACCGCGATCAGATGCCTTGTGAAAACGCAGCGATCCGTGGGTAAAAAATGCTTGAAACGTCCATTTTTTGGGGGCTTAAGGGTCTGGGGGTTTAGGGCTTTTTGGGGTTTAGGGTTTAGGATCAGGGGGTTTAGGGCTTTTTGGGGTTTAGGGTTCAGGATCTGGGATGCTTCATGCTTTCTCTTCGAGTTAGCCTGAACACCCGAAACCCTAAACTTGCGCTTTTGGGGGTGTGGGGAACAGCTGCGAGGTGGCGACCGAGAATCGTGGTCGTGCCTTGGCAGCCTTGCAAGATGGCGCTTCGGGGTTTTAGGGCTTTAGGGTTTAGAGCCCAGGGTTCGGATGAAATCCGCGATGCCTTGCTAGATGCTTGCTTCAGTGCATGATAGCGTGAGTGAGTACATCTGGGCAGGCCGGTGTGAAGATGGAGGTGCCGCCCCAAACCCTGAACCCGAAAGATGGAGCTGGCTCTTTTGTCGGAAAAGAGGCGCTTGAAACAAACAAAAAGATGGAGGTACCGGCGGCACTCGCATGGTGCACCGACGACAGCTTTTCGCGAAGCTCCTGATGCTGGATGCCGAGGACTATATCCCGGGAGACAGTCGGGAATCACGAGATTCCTTTCAGCGTTCCTTGCAGGGTCCAACCCTGGGGATGATTTCCACAATGGGTACGGTACGCCGCTTGCACTACACCTTTAGTCCGATTACCTGAACCTTGACTTCCTAAGACCAGCCGCAAACGAGCCCCAGGAGCTTTCTAAGGTTGATGGCCACTGGTGGTTCTACGTGGGAGCACCTCGGATATCCATTGAGAAGTTACATGGGTTCTCTGTTGGCTTTGTGTAGGTCTACTTAATTACTCAACTGCAACCTGCATGGCCTATAATCACCCCCATAGCCCATCTTGAACCCATCCCGTTCGGTTTGCAGATTAGGGAGACTGGTGTGCAGACTTGGGGGGTGAGGGTGTGTGTGAATCACGCGCCCCTCAGAGCTAGCCCCAGAAAGAACTGATGCGGGTAGGGGCTTCAAGTGCAGGAGAATGCCTACAGGCAGCCCCCCTTCCTCCCCCGCCTACCGGCCATGTGAATGCGAGGTCAACAACACGGATGTTATGGCCAAGGATGCTTATTACCAAGGCAGCTGGCTCTGTCATTTGGAGAGATGGCTGAAGCGTTTTTCGGCTCGGGGTGGCAACTCCCACAGAACAATAACAATAATACATCTACTGCCACTCGGAGTACAAATCAATATATTAACAATAGTAGCAAAATAGGTTCTAGCTACTAGCAGATTAATCTCTAAGCCTAAAACCCCTGAGCCCTACACCTGTATCACACGGCCACCCTTTCCAGCAGAGATGGTTACACCAAACCTTAAACCCTAGAACTCCTTTTGGAGGCAGGATACATGCTACAAGGATCACGGCTTATGGGTTTTATGCTTCAGGGCCTTCGGGCTTAGGGGGACCACTAACTTCCTGAGCCCGAAAGAAAGCACGAATAGCCACCCTTGGCAACCAACCATTGCCGAAGGCGCCCTTATAGCAATAACTCGAGTAGAGCCCTCAATCTAAACTCCTCGCAGCAAGCAGATGCAGGATTCGTGGTTCTCCAGAGTGGCTTCGGGCTCCTCTTGTCTATCGCCATGATCTGCTATGCCGGAGCCCTCGGATTCCTTGAAGGGTTCCTTTTACAGGCTCCTTGAAGGAGTCTACGAGTGTTGGGTCGGGCGTTTGGGTGCTTTCAGAAATTTCTTCGGGTGTTGAGGGCCTGGGTCACTTGACTCGGAAGGGTTTTGGGTAATTAGTCAGGGCAGTTTGGGCCTACATCGTTTTGCAGCCTAGATCACCCAAACCGGCCTGCCCCCAAACCCCAATACTAGGGCAATGTGAAGTGAATTCTTGCCAAGGCGCAGCTAAGCAAGCTGGCAGAGGAAGAAGTGGGTCGAATCCTCAGCTGCTTTAGAGCTTTGTTGGAGCTGCTTGATGGTATGTTTTGAGGGTTCCCTATGAACAAACCGTAGTATGCCATGTTACGTGGTTCTGTTGAGGTTGGATGGGGTTTCTTCGACTCAAATGACGTGGTCTCTTCAGCCTTTAGGGTGTGGGATTCAGGATGCAAAGGTTATAATTTAGGAAATGTAGGACTTCTGAGTTCATGGACGATGGCTTGGCCTTCAGTCGAATGTTGGTTGGAATCGAAGACTGAATGGTCTTAGGGCACAAGCTTTGTCAAGCTTGAAGTCGGTTTAGTGCGTGTGCCGGGGGGGGGGGTTCCGGCGCTCGCCTTACAGATCGGATTCGTCTCGGCAGCTTCTACTTCTACTTTGATATTGCTGTCCTCCGTCAGAGCCATCATGAACGTTTAAAGGTTCAGGACTTAGGTTTCGGGTTTAGGGCTCGGTGCTTCGCTTGGACATCTATTGACATTTGGGAAACAGCTGAGGGTGCCCAAGTCTCCCGTTGATCCGAACCTCGACCCTGCCTCACCCTAAACCCCAAATAAGCCCCCAACTCTACACCGTGAGATTTTGGAAAGGCTTCGTGCCCAGGCCCTGGACCCACGCACACGCCCCCGAAACCGCGTTCGAGAAGAGGTGATGAATTGGTCAATCTCATCATGCCGACAGTGGCCCTGGTGGCCACGGCCATTCGCCAAGCTTGCCTCGAGGGTGTAGGACGTACCTGTTGTTGCGGGCCCAAACGGCCCAAGTTAGGTGTCCAACCACCCCAAACCCTAAACCTTAAACCCCTAAACCCTGAACCTTAAACCCCAAAAACAAACATAAGCACCAACACCCCGAACCCGTAAAGCCCTGGATGGTGGCTTCGAAGTTTCTTAGCCTGGAGACCGTTTCTCAAGCTAGTGTTCGGCGGGCGGCATAAAGGGTTTAGGGTTCAGGGCATCGGGTTTAGGTTTAGTAATAACTTAGGGGTACTTAGAAATAATTTTTCATCTTTGGTTACTGTAAACCCTAAGAAGCAGCTAAAATTACAATTGTTGCTAGGGGTCTAAGTTCAGTATAGATAAGGCTGGTGTTCGTAGAGAGGAGATGGGGGAGGTGTTGGGGGCATCGTCTTTGGATTTCGGGGGCCGCGTTTAGGGTTTAGGGTTTGGATCAAAAAATCACCACTTGAATACAGCAGAATGCTTCGTCACAGAAGGCCAGGATGGCTCTGCCGGCTGCAAGCCATGAGGGTACAAGCCCGAAGCCTTAACCACACACCCCAAAAGCCCAAACCTAATATCGGGGCGGACTCATTGGCAATACTATCCCTTTGTAGTCCCCAATCTAGCTCTAGTATAATGTACCCCCAGAATCATGTTCCAGCTACAACGCCACTTAACCTCCCTATGTTATAAAATGCCGTTGGGGTCCGAGCTGAGCTGTACCAAGATGTTCCTCTGCGCCTTTGCCGTTCTTCGGCTGCCCAGGCAGGCCAGTGTTAGATGTACCTTAGGGTTTAGGGTCTTGGGCTTCAACTACCAAGATCTGTCTCACAAAGCCTTGTATGGGATTTACTGGGACCTTACAACCGGGCAGGCTATGGTGGGTCAAAGTAGGGTTTTCCAAGTGTAAAGGGAGCAAGCTTCATATGAGGCTGTAGGCTATGGATGTAGGTTGAATGTCTGGGTGATGCTGGTAGGTTGGCATGTGTTGTGTGGATTTCGGGCCAGAAATCGCGAGCGTGTGCATTCTCAACTGTGTAATTGGCGGGTCTATAGGCACGCCCTAAACCTCCTGCTCGGTCCTGCCCCCGTGCTCTTCCTGTTTCCTGCTGCAGGCTTGGGAAACTCCTCGTGCAGCGAATGCAGGGTGAGGCAGGTAGCAGATATCGTTAATATGAAACCTATTATACAGTAGCATAGGACATCATATATAGTTATACAATATTGTAACTGTATAATGTTGTATAATATGATTGTGGTTTCCGAGGCTTCGGCAAGGACTCGGAGAACGGAACTTATTAGCAGGGCTTGGGGTTTCTATCACATTTGGACCACTGGCGGTACTCTGAACGATGCGATATATGGTGACGCACTCCGCGGTCCCTCCCCCCACTCATGGTCCAGGATGCCCCCCGCCGTGTGGGCTGGGGTGTGGGGTCGTGGATGTGGGGCTTTGGGTTTAGGGTTTAGCTTAAGCTTTTTTGTTCTGAGTTTAGGGTTTAGGGTTAAAAGGTATAAGGCTTCGAGTCGACAAGGGGCTTAGCGAGGGTTTGGGTGTAGGTTCGTTAGGGTTGACCGTTTATTTTCTTCTTTAGGCTTAGAGGCTGCATTTAGGCGGGGTTTTGGGTTGGTGTAGGGTGTAAAGGACAAGTTAAGGTTAATGAAACAGGAGCACGTGCCACGTTATATAGCGCTTATGGCTTGCGTAGGGCTTGCGTAAGATCCCGGCCCTCTTTCTGACCCCTGGTCGCCCCACCACCAGCACCCCACCCTCCAGCTGCAGCTCCAACGGCCCGACCCCCGGGGCGGGAACGCCAGACGCCTGACCAAACATGAGACGTTGGGCTTTGGGGCTTAAGGCTCTGCATGGGGCGGGTGGGGGGGGTTAACGTGTTTTGGATTCGAGGGGATTCGTGTTCGAGATTGTTGGGAATGTTAGGTACAGTTTAGGGAGTTTCGGGGTTGAGGAGCCGGGTGGAAAGCGAGGGCTCAGGCTTCAGCCCGTCGCTTCAGTATGCCAGGTGTTTGATTGTCGCCCTTTACTTTCGCAAGTGCAGCTGTTTGCTTCTTTTCCACGACTTGTTGAGAGGCCACCCTAGGCCTTAGACTTTACGCTTAAGGGCTGGATGGTGGTTCAAACTGCTGCATGCAACCATGGAGGAATCCAGGCCCCACCCCAAGCATTGATGGCATAGACTACTATAGAAGCCTGAACTACGACGTACGAGTATTGCTCCCTGGGGTTCCTGCTTATATTCAGTACAACATGTCGGCAAGGCCCCATGTTTAATTCCTACGGACCCTTATCGCCGACAGGAGTTTCGCTAAACCGTCAGGCCGAAGCCCGAGATTGCCAAACCCAAAGCAGGTGCTGATATGCAAACCTGAATATGCAAAATATTTTTTGGATAGCATCTGATAGGTCGTAGATAAGAAAGGTTATATAATCCCAAAGATCTTCCGCAATCATTCTGCGGTCATTCTTCAAACCAACCTTCCTAGACCCTCCGTTTACATCCGGCCCTACATACCCGTCACATGGTCATAGAGATATTACTTGAAAACAAAAGCTCTAGGACGGCATTAAGGAGCAGTACTCCTGCGTCACTTCTCTGTACCATTCCTGTACAGAGACGTCGTCCCACTACTCTACTACCCCTACCCCTACCGTACCGCTACCCCCCTGCCCCTGCCCCCACGCCAACCCCCTGCCATGGCCACTGCCACCACCATGACTGCATCCTGGTAACCCTTGTAACCCTGTCAGTATTCCACCAATCCAGATTCATCTCGATTCAGGCGGCCTGGGTGGACACCTTGTCCTGGCTTTGCCACGCAGGGGCCTCCATGCGGAGCCTTGCTACGCGCACTCATTCTAAGCCCCCTCCTGAGATTCCGTGCGAGTTTTGGTGATGCCTGCGGTGCATGAGTCTGACAATTTGATTCCAAGGGTTTGCAGGTGGGGCCAGTGCTACATACGAATGTATGTCCGGGTAGAGGTTATAGCTAGTCTGTCTGCCCTCTGCCGGGGGTGGGGGATGACGTGTGATTGAGAAGGTTTCAGAAGCTCCGGGCCTACAGCCCAAACCCAAAGCCGAAAATGGTTGAGCCGCGCTAAGCCTGGAATCGGTGTGCGAAGGTGCTGGACAGTCAAAAGATTGAGAATTTCGGGCTTCTCCTTTGCACCATAAACCTTAACCCCTGAATTCGAAGCCCTACACTGGTTGAAACCCCAAAATTGCATAACCGGATGTTTGTTTGTAGTATCCTTAGTCAGAGAGTGCGTCGCCTGATGCCCAAAACGAAATCCGGAAAGAACACCTGTCACATCTCAAACTTTCCGACCGAAACCAAATCAATTGGAGTCGTGATGTTCCGCTGCCATGGTTAGCGAAGACCGTCCCTGGAAGCGTCCTAATGCCGTTCTGCCTGTAACTACGGTGTTTTGGGGTCTTGGTCAGAGACAGCTTTGCTCTAGGTAAGAAATCCAAGTCGAAGAGCAACAGACTGCGAACGCGGCGTTTCGGCTTTCACAAGCACGTAGGCTGGACATGCGCTTCACCGCGGAAAGCCGGTTCTTCCAAACCTTCCACATCAAAGCGCGTGACTGGAGCAACGACACCATCTGGCTGCACGGCTGGACTGATCAGGAGTGATGTTCCTTGTAGGGTTGGGCTTGACTTGCAAGGTGATGCTAGGCCCTGCTAGGCTGAACACGAACCCACGCTGCTCCCGCGCACTGGTGTCCCGGGTGTGTTGAACATGCTGCTCATGCTCGCGGTCATCATAGCCTCTATACTAAGACTCTATACCACATCTGTGTCAGTGGGTCAGCAGAATCGCAATGATTGCATAGAGTGTAGTTGTCATTACGAGCACGAGCTTGAAGAGCGCGATCTATCACAGCATGATGACAGCGTCAGCATCGTCACTAACGTCAATATATCATGCACCCAAATCACGATCGTGATCACCATCCTCCATTCTGACGTGTCGTTGTCCAGGCTCGCATAAGCGAGTCATACATAGTTGCGGTTCAGGGTTTAGGGTTCAGGTTTAGCGCCGGGTTTGTAGCGATCAAGTCGCGATCTAGGTTACGGTGTGCACTGGATTGATCACAGTTCCATGCTTAACCAAAGTCGCCACAGGGCAGGCAGCATAATGAACGCCTCAGGTTCACCAAGTGGATCACACACCTTATACGCGTCCTCATCCTGATCTTGGGTACAGCGGCGCTGCTGAAGAGTCGACGGGCAGGACCGCTGCAAAGCATTCATGCCGGGGTCGTTGACCTCGGTATGGAACTAATGTGGAAGACCAATCTTCTGATAATGTCACATGTCATGAGACTAGCAAAAATCAGATTAGGATGAGTTCCGAAGGGCTCCTAAAGGAAGTCATGACAATCTAAGAAAGATAGCAGCCTTAAGCCTAAGCACCTGGGACTGGCGAGGTTCAGACGTCTTCCAATCTGGCGACTTCGTATTCCAGCTGTGCCTTGGCTGCAACGCCCCGTATCCGGGATAGCAACATGGCACTTAACATGCAGTGTGTTTTAGTATTTTGTAGGCTGCTATGTTATGTTGTGTTATATTAGACTATATATTGTATTGTATTATTTCATAGTATGATAAAACAGTGTATTTCATTCTATTTTGATGTATTGTATTTTGTTATATTATACTGTATTGTACAGTATTATGTATTCTCACCCTATGTTACGTACGGTTCAGCCTTTGCCCTTGAAGTTTCGGATTCCCTGTGCGACTACGATTTGTTTTTTTGGGTGAAGATTTGGTGAAGGTGTCGGGTTTCAAGTTCTGGAGTTCTGGGCTGACGCTGTGGAGCTGGGCTTAGGGCCATCTGTGCAGGGTGCACATAAGGTTTGGAGTGCCACAATGCACGGCCCTGTCCATACTTACCTACATACAAACATACAGAATTGTTTCTTCATGTGTTCGTTCGCTCGTTCCTTCCTTCCTTCCTTCCTTCCTTAGTTCGTTCGATCCTCGGTTCGTTGGTTCACTCCTCCGCCACTGCATGGGCAGGACTTCATGAAGTCATGTGCATAGTATCCTGATAGCAGCGGTAAGTGTATTTCGACATGGGAAGCCTCTTGGTGTTGTACAGTGGCCTCCGAGCTGAAACCTAGGAAACAATCATGCGGAACGCGCCTCATCATGAGTTGTCTGGTTCCAAATTGCTGCAGCATCCAAAGCGCTTCTGAAGAACTTGCCAGGAAAGTCTTCGCTAGCTGCGGCGACTTCGCAGAATTCTGAGGGCCTTTTTGGTTACTGGCTCTGAGGGTGCCGAAACCCGGAACACGGCGGGGCTTAGGATTTGGGGTGGAAGTTTGCGTCTACATCCAGGATGTTAAAAATCCGAAGTTTAGGGTTTATGCAGTTTAGGTGTCGTGTGGAGTTCTGGGGGTCTAATTTGCGCGAGGCTAAGAAAGTGGAAGTACAATTGAAAGCAAGCTTGATAACAATGGCGGTCATGCTCAATGACTGCCTGCGTCTCAAGTATCCCGTTCCCCAAACGTGCAGAGCGGGAGAACTTTCAGGTAGCTGGCCTGCAGAGCCCATAATTAGGCATTTCTGCAACAGCAGTACATGTTTTGACATCAAGATTTATAGTGCAAGACTTGATGGGAAGAAGCTTTGGGACATGAACACTGCTAGCAATGCTACATAAGAGACTTCATACTGCGGGAAAGGGAAGTACTCGAAGAGCAACTAAGGCCTTGAATAGCAGTTCTATATCCATAG